TATAGTTTGTGATCTACTATATTTTAATAGGATGCCATGTTCTAGATGAAACATCATTTAACCAGTGCCCTACTGTTGGATATTTAGGTTATTGCCAGTTGCTTTGCCATTATCAGTCATGCTAATGAACAACCCTATTCATGTAACTTTTTACTAGTATGTTAATAAAACATAGCTTTGAATGTGGGGTTAAAAGTAGATATAATTGGAATTTATAGGTAATTTGACTTTGTGTAGCTACTGACAGATTGCCCCTTAGAGAAGCAAGTACCAAGTTTATATATAATGAGACATGAATATATTTTGCAGTTTCCCATTGGAAGACTTTAAACTTCTGTCTTGCATAGGATCATGCTGACATTGAGTGGAAATTTGCAAGGACGAAGCTCTGGATGAGTTACTTTGATGAAGGAGGCACCTTGCCACCTCCTTTCAACATCATCCCCAGCCCCAAATCATTTCTCTATCTTGGTAGCTGGTTCAACAATACTTTCTGCCCTAAAAGAGATCCTGATGGTAGAAGGAGAAGACACAACTTGAGAAGCTTCACAGTAAGGCTTTCTAAAACTTTTTTTAAAAAATAAAACTATTCTCCTTCCTGTCTTGAACATCATAAAGTGACACAACCTCCTTATGTTTGGAGAGTTTGTCAGGCAAGAGCTCCTGTATGATTCTCTAGTCCTAATATTTGGAAATGTATTTGGATGGGAGAGAGTTGATAGGATTCTGGGATGTTGATGTAACCTCTCTTTCCATTTTCCATTACAGGAGCGTCACGCTGACAGCCTCATACAAAACCAACACTATCAGGTAAAGCTTCTCTTCTACAAAGGGATTAAATATAACGGGTTTCCAGTGGTTCTGTGGAGTAGAAGCAAACTCATCTCTGGCTATGTCTCACCAATATACTTGCAAAAGGATTCAGGGCTGTTCACTGTAGCATGGCTAGTAATAGCAAAACAGCTGGCAATAACTTAAATACCAACAGTGGAAAACAAAATCAACTTTCTTTGGGCCAGAGAGATGGCTCAGTGGAATAAGCACTTGCCTCACAAGCACAGGGGCCTGAGTTCAATCCCCGGTTCCGCCAAGAAAAAAAAAAAAAAAAAAAAAACAGTGGGAGACTGATGAATGCTTCATCTAGAACATGGAATACAATATAATCAGTAAAATATAGATCACAAGGCTTTTATCTATATGCATCTATCCAAGACCTCTATGTGAAAATCAACATAAAGCTTTCAAAGACTATGACTCATCAGAGGCTGAATTAACTCCCCAAAGTGAAATGATCTGCTTCAAAACCCTGTTAATAGCCCTTTAACACTACTTCAGCTGGAACAGCAACATCTATAGCTTGGAAAGCTAATGTTCTTGAGAATAAGTAAAATAGAGAATTGGTTGATCAGTCAGTCAACAACTATTTGAGTGCACTGTGTACAACAAACACTATACTAAACATTACTATGAACAAAAAAATCACCCTCTGGGCTGGACATGTAGCTCAGTGGTACAGCACTTGCCTTGTAGGTGACAGGCCCTGGGTTCCATCCCCAATACTGATAAAAAAGAAAAAGAAAGGAAGTCTTTCTAACTTCATGCAAGTTATTATCTAGATATGATTAAAGACATTACACAAATAATTAGAATTACTTGGTGCATGCCTATAATCCCAGCACTAGGGAAGCTGAAAGCAGGAGGATCACTATGAGTCCAAGCTGCATAGTGAGACCCCTGCCCAAAAAAATAATAATTAGAATTACTAAAATTAACTGGTTACAGGGGTAAACCTCACTATAAAGAAAAACATAGACTAGTGGAAATATATAAGGACTAATCAAAAAGTAATGAATATTTAAATTTTGAAATTATAGTAAAAGATGCATTGTCATTAATCTTCATTAAAATACTCCACCTCACTTCACAAGGAATATTTTGTGGGAGATTAGTGACAATATGTCCTGTACTGCAATAATTTTTTAAAACTTAAATATTTTACCGGCCGTGACTCATTCACATGGCTGACACTGACAAATGTTCTACAATCTGAGGTAAAGGATCTCAGGAGAAATCCTGAGGGGATTTCACTGACCTTCTCAGACCCAAAAGCTACAACTCTTGTTGCA